TCTGCTTCTGACCTTTTTCTGACCTTTAGAGCTCAGCTTCCCCTCAAAGCATCACATCATTCTTGGTACTCTGGATGTGCTCATCCACTCAGCAAGATTGCGAAGGATGTTTATGCCTGGCCAGCCAGATAGTGCCAGACTTCGAAGATGGTCTGAGCTTCGAAGTCTAAAGATACTTTAGACCACAACGACTAGAAAATTTTGTGCGTCCGGTCTGTGGAGACCCCATCCCCAGATGGAGCTACAACGCGGTCTCGCATTCGTGCTTTATGTCGGATAGAACCCCAGACGCGGGCCAGCAGCTCTTTTCTTCAACTTTGGTCTCGATTGATTTCAAACTTCTTGATCACTCAGGAGTTCCAGGATCCGGCATCGTCCTCTGTCTGTGTATGCTGGCTTCAAGTCGTCTGTGCATCTTTGTATCACTGCTTACAGCTTTCCAGTGCACCTCGCTGTCGACGTGAGCAAAATACGTATTTGAAGAGAATCTGACGTTGCTGGAGCAAGGGCACAACATAAGCACAGTCAGCCAGTAAGGTGTTGTTGACGTCGACCAAAGAGCCAAGTCCTCTCGTCATTTGCTGGTCATAGCTAGCATCCTTTCACAGCTTCTGCACCAACATTTTGAATATTTGGCGCGTCCTGTGCATCGTTAGCTATGCTTCTTACGGAGTCAATACAACCGTTTCAATTCACCGGCAGCCCTTCTGGCGCTATGGACGACTTCCGAAAGCACGTACCGGAAGGCTCAATGTTCCCTCCACGCTCGCATACTCGATCAATATCTTCGTACTCCTCGACCTCATCTAATGGAGGGCTTCGGTTGGCGGACATCGCCAAGCAACACGGCATGGGCATTCATGTTGAGAACTGGAGAGAAGACCAGTTTCCAGTCAGGCAGTACCTGCCTATGCAGCACATTATCGGTAGCCTCAAGCGCGATCGGGATGAGCAGGTGCAGTACGTGCGTGAACAGGACGTACCTGCCCGGAGGAGGAGTCTGATCAGACGCCAAAGCACACTCATAGGAACGTCTCCTAATCATGTCGATCTTTCTGTGCAGGTGTCTGCAACGCCAAAGCGACGTCGTGTCTCGAGCTCTTCGCACACCAGTTCTCAATATACAACAGAGTCGGATCCAGATCGTCGCTTCAGCTACCAGTCCACCGAGCACATGGCTAAAGCCATACCTCAGTCAGCACTACCAGGTCTCAGCCATGTCTTGAATCTTGCAACCATCACCGCCACTGAACGTGATATTCTCTCTGAATATGCTCCGAAACAACTAGATGACCAACAGCTTCTGATGAGCGAGGTCTTGCAGCTGCGAGAGCATATGATGGATGAGGAAGGGAGGGGCGAGGAGGATAGAAATGCTGGCTTCGACGACGACGCCAGCACGATTGGGGCGGGTTCTCCGATCATTCCGCCTGAGCGAGATGCGGAAGTTCGAAAGGCCTTCGAGAATTTTGTTGTCTATCCAGACGATCGGTGCATTGCGAAGATATGATGGCCCTTCACGGAATTAAGGTCAGCTGAAAAACGTCTTTGAATGTCCTTCCAAGTTTCATGTCAGCTCTGAACGTTGTTGGTATGTTGCGGCAAAGAGAAATAGCCGTGTCGGACGTCAAAGGGGAAGTGGACTGTACAAGACATCGGCAAACCTGGCCTAGAGAGAATGGTCAGTATCGTGCTGCCTCTTCCGCAAGTCACTCAGTTCCACATGGCACGTGGGAATACCTCTTGGTTGCTCACCTGGTGCATCACGGTCGCTGGCTTCAAAGGCTTTGTCCCAGCTGTTCTCAGGATCGTGGTGAGATGGCGCTTCGTCACTCGGATGAGGTTTCTATGCATAGGATACGTGATGCCAGGATCAACTGGGAGAAGTATTGGTCATAATGGTGCAGCTGGGCGCGCCCGGTGGCTGTCCGTGGTTGTCGTGTTCATCACTTTCCATGACTAGCCTTGTCATTCGATTCGACTAGCCTCTCTTCACCACGTGCAAGCAAATACCTGACTCGGGACTCACACAACAGCAGACACAAAATCGATACTCTCGGTTACCCACCACGTTTTATCGTATACCACTCGTGTCCTGAATACGGCCTCTGCATACATCCGATCTGCGCCTCGCATCTTCCGCCTACCTTACCCACCGTCTACAACTGACCACTACCACCCTCGATAGCCTGCCAAGATGAATCCAAATCAGCCGGAGTGGATGACACATACTCGGCGCCTCCCTAACATTGGTTCAAAGGAACAATACGAGTTCCTCCCAGGAAGTAAGTACCAATCAATTCCCCCTCACCTTCTCATCGGCACATTCGCAGTTCTGCAGAAAGAAAGAACAAACCCGACCTAGCAAGAGCACCAAACCGTCACAGATTTCAGGTCAATAGAGATTTGAGCACACAATAAAGCACCAAGTTTAGTCAAGCCGTGCTAACGTCAACACACAGCTCCCGAACACTTCCTTTACAAGACGAATGGCCCGCAGCCGCCGCCTTTCGACCCGATTCTTATGCAAGACGTTCCAGGTAGGGCCAAAGAAATATTGGTGTAAACAAGAGCTGAACTGACCTTGAACAAGTGCCCATGGACACAACCGACGACCAGGACGAGATCTTGTCGTACCTGCGTGAGGAGGCAATGGTCACTCTCATGGAGAGTTTCATTGAGCCATCGTCAATGGCTCTCCCCACTCCAGCTGGTCCCTTGTCCTTCGGCCCTCCAATCCTTCCCGCCTCGACGGCTTAACGTGCGGCACGTCTGTCGAGGCCGAAGCTGCCGAAAGCCAAGCGAAGACCAAGCGATACGAAGAGCTGACGAAAGAACAACGCCAGCACTTCCGTCCAGGTGCGCGGGATCCGATGATCAGGGGAGGAGATGAGCTGGAACCCCCTTTGATCAAACAAGATCAGGCTGACGATTCAGCGGGTCTCTGTGTGAGGGGGGACGAGCTAGACGGCGACCAGTACGTGGAGACTGCGCCGCCATTGGGACTGGGTGAGGCGCTGGAGGGCATCGAGCGACTGAATATGCTCGACAATGCACAGGCCGCAACGGACGAGCCTGAGCAGACGTTAGACGAGGAGACGTGGTCAGAATGGTTACACGAGGTGCAGTCATAGTTCCTCTACCAGCAAGAAGAAAGAAGGTCAAGATACCAGCAAGAGCTGCTACAAAAAAATGCTCATGGCAGACTCGGAAGCAGCGGGGCGTTACATCGGAGCCGAGGTATCATGAATAGACACGCTAGCCTTGGGGACGGTTGCTACACGGCTTGATGCACGACTTGTGCATTTAACAAGCACTGTCCATATATATACCTATGGGGTACCTCATGCTCATATTGTCGATGCACATGCTGACGCCCTTCCGCTGCTCGCGTTCTCCTTTTGCTTGCTTTCCACCATTGATGCCAACATGCTCAGGCATTCATAAACACGTGACCAGGCACCAAATTAAGTGGTCAGGCTGAGGAGCCTTGTTCATCTAGTCGCGCCTGCTCCACAAAAGTTTTCAACGGTGACTCGAAGCTCAACTCTTGACCTTTCTTCTTTACAAGTACTCTACTCTTCGAGCTTGAACTCTGGTTTCGGATAACTGGTCCAATCCACCAGCTTTATGCCGTCGATCTCCCAAGCGTAAGAAGCAGGACCTGCAGGTACGCATTGATTCATCGCCACATGGATCACTGTGGTAGCAGTTGTCCACATGCTCAGCTGGAATCGAGGAATGCAATTTGAGCTTCCACCTTCAATCAAGTCTGGCCAGCAGCCGCGGCAAACGCTATGTGTTATGTTCTTCCACGAAAGCGTATTTGGCAGAAGTTGGGGATGAACGGTGAGCGAAATGGTGAGATACTGACACTGTCCATGCACATGGATGAAAGAAATGACAGGCACAACACCTCCAGTTCATCCACGCCATGATCATGCGAGTCGACTTTGCAAGCGTAAGAAGCAGGATACGATGCAGCTCCGTTGTCACAACTTACCACCGATTCATCGTCAAATGGTCGAAGTCGATGCCGCGAAGACGCTCTGTCCACACGCTCAGCTGAAGTCGAGGATTGCATTCGAGCAACCAACATTCACCAGTCGGTTACCTGGTAGGGAGTACAGACAACTAGCCATTTCTGAAACGCGGGCGGAGCCTTGAAGGTGAAAGTCGTAACAAGGTCATCTCCTTGCATGATCACTAACTTACTGAGAGGAGCTGGAGGTATGTGCGAGACGAACCATTGAGTGCATATTGTGTTTGGGAGTCGGGGGAAATATGTTCAAGGTCGATGATGAAAATTGTCAAAAGAGACGCGATTCAAGCTATGCTTGATGTGTGAAATCTCAATGGTTCGATTACCTGAGACCTACGCTACAATGAACACTACTCCTGCGGGAGATAGAAACGGATGACAGCGAGAGGTGCTGATAGAGCTTGACAGCGACGTACTTGCTTGATGAGCAATTACTAGCGCTTGCACATTTACAATAACTCAAATATGGAAAGAGTTTCCTTCACGACGATGCCTGCAAACCGTGGTCGTTCGACAAGATCCCATGATACATCTAATGGTGCGTCGTGCCTTCCGCAACTAGTAATCGAGGGGACCCAGGATGATGCCAACTTGTTCGTACAGCTTGTTACTACAGCAAGTGCAAACACTGAGTACAAAGGTAGGCTTCGCTGAACCAAGTTCATATTTCAGATACAGCCTGAGGCATGCATGAATCTTTGCAGTGCCGCTGCTTTGCGGGCCTATCTTCATGTCATTTTCACTCCTACACGTCGTTGTAGGCCACCACCACCGCTGCAATTATTGATAATTTGCTTGCTCCTCTCCTTCAGCGTTCAGATCTTGTCCACTCACTGTCGCAGCCACCGGGTCATGCAGTCGCCATATCACGGTGCTCTCGGCCCGCGTTGCAATACCTTCATATAGCGTACATCCGAAACTTATCTATATTCCTCCCGAAGCTGCCTGAGATATCTTTGGACCAATAGCTCAGTGGTAGAGCGCTCCCTCAATGGCTAACCCGACACGTTCTGCAGGACGGTGGTGTCCGCTCATGTAGACAACCTGCTCTTGTAGGTAGCCTGTGGTCTGGGAGAGGTCGTCAGTTCGAGTCAGACTTGGTCCACAAATTTCCTCTATTTGCCTTTTTGCCTTTTTGGTGTGCTTGATCAGTTTTTGGCCTGACAGACAGCGAAAACAGTTAAGCCATGCGTAGTGGCAGCATCTCTGACCATCCGGAGACGAACTTCGTGATGAAAATGTGCTCGTGAGTACTGGGATGTTTGACCTCATATCTCTGCTTTTCCGGGTCCCCATAGATCCAGAACCCATCGTTGTTCCGATTCCTGCCAATGCTCATTCGACAATGCGGTCAAATCAACCCTGTCAAACCCGTGCCATCGCTGTGATTTGCCGTTGTCTCCGTTCGAAGCTCATGGCTTGTTAATGTTATGTTTGTCTAGCCGTTTCCTCGAGCGGATCCGTCGTACTGAGACTTTGTATCCAATGACACAAAAATGGTATCATTCCAGCAGAAGTTCCTGTCGATCCTTTGAACCAGTAGCTCAGCGGTAGAGCGTTGCCCTTATATTTGGATGGGTAGACACACTACGGCAGTGGTGGCATGACAGCCAGCGTGCTGGCTGTCAGAGCCTTTGGTCTAGAGGTCCAACGTCGCGGGAAAGGTCGTCTGTTCGAATCAGATCTGGTTCGATTTCTTTTTGTCGAGCTGTCATATGCGACACTTAGCGCTGCAGACTGGTGAGAACTGGCCAGAAAAAGCTTGACTTAAACCTCACTTCAGAGTGAAGTCCCATGTCGCCTGACCACGGCCTTGCTCTGAATGCGCTTTTGACGTGTGCTGGTGTCGAGACCGTCGGTATCCCTGCTGAATACCCCCAAGATAAGGTCTTCCTCGCGAACGTCAGTTGTTGTGAATAACACTTTTGATTGAAGGTAGGAGAGCACAGCTGACTAGGTTGTCTGTTCGTGTTGGACCTCACTCTTTCCATTCAGATTTCAGATCTAGTATCGGAGCTCTGAGAATGAGATTGCCTCATGCGGCTTTCTCTTCGGCGAACCGTGATGTGAAGTGACTAAGCTGCCATGTCGCTGAGATGGCATTGAAGGAGGAAGCGACATTGTCGAAGGAAGCATCATCCAGCGTTATGAGCTAACAGCCAACAGCTCAGCCCTGCAGATGTCTGCGGCTAGGTCCTTGCGTCTCCATCGTCTTTGTGAATCGCTTTGCACTCCGTGCGTTTGTTGTCTCACTCCGCTTGCTCTCGAATGCCTCCAGCACATATACACCAAGCGATATATATTCATAAGCCACGATTCATACCACAATTACAGAACAGTTCTGCACTATTGGGGGCGGCCTGTAGCTCAGTGAAAGAGTGCTCCCTTCGCAGTGTGGAAGTGGCACATCTTAGCTGATATTGGATTGGACGGTACCAAGACGGCAGTTTTTCAACACCTCTTGGTGGCTTCCATGACTTTGGTCAGGTTCTCCTATTGGAGATGGGAAAAGTCGTCTGTTCGAACCAGACCTGGTCCATATGCTTTTTGCACGTTGTCGAAAGTGGAAGATAGTCGGTCGAAGCGGTAGTGGTGAAGCCGAAATGATGTTGTTATGGAGAGGTTCAGCAACGAGATCGAGCATAAGTCTGACCTAGATTAACGCGCGACACGATACAATGCGTGTGCTGGGCGCGTATGTATGCACACTTGGCGATTTGCCTTGTCCTCAGTATTAGCCCAACCAATGTCGCTTTGATGAATGACCGTCTATTCGGCCACGTGCGTGTGCTATCGGTTAGTCGCAGGCATCGGCCAGTTCCAAAGGCCGTGCACGTGATGTAAGTTTTGCCTGCAAACCTTCACCGTCTGCGCCTCCACTGTTTGCACGCAAGTACTTATGCATGTTTTCTCAGATATCCTCCTCAATCTGAGGCTGGTGCTGCCGTTAATAGATTACTCGGGCCTGTAGCTCAGTGGTAGAGTGTTCCCTTCGCACGGCTGGGACACACTTGTGGTGGTCACAGAGTGTATTCTCTGCAGGGAGTGTCTTCCCATCTAGACCTTTGGTTTCACGCTGACGCTGTCTGGGAAAAGTCGTCCGTTCGAACCGGACCTGGTCCATCCTTTTTTGTGTCGCCAAGTCAATGCCGCAGGCGAAATTGAGTTCTAATGGAACATTTTTCAAACCGATGGTAAGGCTGATGCAGAATCAGTCGTGTAGTGTTGCGATAGCCATAGCTTGATTAATGCCTGAAGGGGAACGAACAGAGTGCCTTTGAATTCACTGTATGTGTGTCACACCTTCCAAACCTTCACATCACTTCTACCATCTTTCCCCAACACCTGCGCGAGACGACCGCCTAATGGACCTTGCTTCTCCTCACCATCCTGCCATATTTTTGGACCAGCTAGGTAGGTGATGAACCCAGGTGGACCGGAGATGATAATTTGTGTCTTCTCAGTACTGGCGGCACCTGTCAACGAAGAAAGAGACTTTTCGATCGTACCGGTGTGGATGTAAGTATTCTGTTCATCTACAAAATACGAGACAGCGAGGTTTCCACCGTGCTGTGACTTGAGATTGTCCAACTGGCGCATTACAGCATTTGGCTGCTCGCTCGACTTCTCCATTTCCACTACAGTATCATTCGCGATCTGGGCCGATGAAGAGAAGAGACTTGTCCATGACCAGGCACTCGAGCCAGATGTTGTGACTGCAGCATTGACTTCATCCTTAGTATCAAATGTAGCTCCAGTGCAGTCTTCCGTCTTCCTGTTCGCCCATAGTATGTGCAACCTCTTCTCACTCTTCTGTCTAATGCTCAGACCATCGAACATAGCGTGTGCGACTTGCATAGCCGGCGCTATACCCGTCCCGCCAGCAATGAATATCACATTCTTGACGTCGTCCCCAATCGGGTACTCGACATGCGGCCCTCTCAGCTCAATAGTGGCACCGGCTGGTAGTCGATGTAAGTAGCTTGACATCTCACCGCCACGAGCATCCTTCCTGATCAAGAATCGTAGTGTATCTGAATCATCCGCGTCGAGCTCATCTGGTAGAGGAGGAAGAGGAGTGTAGGCCCGCACGATCTGTAGCTGTGGCTGCTTGAACTGAACATTCCAGATGCCCTCTTCCCATGTTGGTGAGAAGACGGTGCCAGCTCGTGGTTTCGGCTTGATAGTAAATATGCTTGCTGTCGACGAGACGGGCTCTTTCGAGATAAGCTGAAATGCTTGAAACGAGTCGGGATTCTTCCTAAGCCAGATCATACGATACCAGGAGCCTATGGTAAAGCCGACAACACCGATGACTACGTAAGCTTGCCATTTCCGAGATGTTGGTGGTCTTGCTGAGGCAATAGGCTGTAGTGGTTCAGGTTTCGTTGATTTCCATCGAGGCCGCAATATCGCGGACGGACCTCGAGGATGCAGTCGTGTGCATATTGACGGCCGAGCTATGCATCTTCGCAACATGAGGTTCTACACTCCTTCGCACCTCCCCGATAGCTTCCACGCAATGTCCTTGTCTGCTGGGGATGCCGTCGAGTTTCCGGGACGAGATTATTTGCTCCTTTCGCAGTCACGAAGCGATGACATAACCGGATGATCTGCGCTCCTCCTGCATGAGCGTTCGCGATCAGGAACAAAGCAACCAGCCGGCTCCACCTCATTTCATTTCCTACGCATTCAAGGAATAACAGACCCAGAAAAGGAGTGTCTTCCTCAGTGGTCACAGGCTACAACAGTAATGCGAACATGATGTTATGACTACGACGGCCCTTCCACACCTCCTAACACTGCCCGACCATGTCACGCCTGGGCTTCAGTGAACTATCCAAGCCGTCCGCTCTGCAGATACCGGGACGAGACTCTCTCGAACTCGCAAGTCTAGCTGACTCCGAGGGAGGAGACGATCATGATGGCGCAACCGAATCCTCCTCTGTATCTGGAGCCCCTTCTTCCCGTCGGCTTTCCTTTGAGAATGAAGATCCTCTCGACAGCGCCAATCCTGCCCAGCGCAGTCGCATGAACAGATCCTATAGTGTCTCCTCCGCTTTCGACTTTACGCCTGCCCTGTTTCCTCTTTCTACGACTGCTGGTGGCTATACAGCGCTGGGCGCACCTGCGACGCCCTCATTCGATAGGGGTGGTGGCATTGAGAACTTGGAGAAGCATAAGACACTGACATACTTCAATGGCTTGTCCTTGGTGGTCGGTCTGATAATCGGAAGCGGCATATTCAGCTCTCCCTCGCAAGTCAACCTCCGCGTGGGTTCTCCTGGCGCTTCTCTGATAGTATGGACAATTTCTGGCCTTCTCGCATGGACCGGCGCAGCTTCCTACGCAGAGCTGGGAGGTGCAATACCACTCAACGGTGGCGCACAAGTCTACCTAGCCAAGATATTCGGTGAACTAGCTGGCTTTCTCTTCACCTGGACAGCCATACTCGTGCTAAAGCCCGGATCTGCGGCCATCATTGCAATCATACTGGGAGAATACGTGGTACGCGCAGTGATAGGTGCAGAAGTCGAAGAGATAAATCCCTGGATCAACAAAGCGCCCGCCTTCCTCGCACTCTTCTTCGTTACACTCTTCAACTGTCTCTCTACCCGCTTTCCAGCACGAATAGGTGATGGCTTCATGATCTTCAAATTCATCGCCCTCTTCGCCGTAACCATAATCGGCATCATAGCAGCAGTCACACACCTCTCCTACCGCGGCCCAGCAAACACAGAATGGCGCGACAATGGCTGGTTCGACAACACCAGCACATCAATCTCCGACTGGGCCGTCGCACTCTACGCGGGCCTCTGGGCCTTCGACGGCTGGGACAACACAAACTACGTCACAGGCGAATTCAAGAATCCCAGTCGCGATCTACCCAAGGTCCTACATACAGCAATGCCAGCCGTCATCCTCTGCTATCTCCTCGCCAACGTATCCTACATCTTCGTCCTCCCCTTCGCAGACATGAACAAATCCAACGCCGTAGCCGTGCAATTCGGCAGTAAAGTCTTCGGTCCCATCGGTGCACTCCTCCTCGCCCTCGTGGTCTCCCTCAGCGCGTTCGGCGCCCTCAACGCAACAACATTCACATCC